GTCAGTGATTGGTCCCAGGGAAACAAAGAGTCTTGTGGCTGGGCCCATAGGTACAGTGGGGCATTTCGGGGCCCAGCCCCCTGACTTTCTGCCAGGCCCCTCGACTTATTTCTCATGCTCACCACTGCCAGCCTCATGCCGCCCTTTCTGTATGTCTCCTTGGCAACTTGCTTTAAATGGGAGAAGCGGGGTGGGTGGGTGCCCTAGCACATGCCTACACTCCAAACTATGAATTCACAGCTTGGAGTGCAGGCACACATAGGGATGTGAAGGCCCAGAAAAATTCGGAAAAAACCCGTTTTTTCCCTGAAGCCTTTTTTGTTTTTTTCGGAAAAATTGGAAAAATTGAAAAAAGAAAAGAAAAAAAATTGATTATGGAACATTTTATTTTAACATGATGAATAAAATATTTTAAGACAAGGGGTTCAAATATTTTCCAAATCATTTCTAAAAAATGTGTATGGTATCAGATTGATCTAATTTCTGTGCACTGAGGACAAGCAAGTCCTAGGTTACAAACTGAACTCCCCGATGCAAGAACAAGATGCATTTCTTCCTTTAGGAGGTGCTATTTTCACAAGAAAAAAAAGTTTCAGTTTTGTTTTTGCATGTGGGTGGGTATTCTGTTTGTAAGAATTGTTTGGCTACACTATATTTTTAATTTGCTAGTTGTGATAATTTCATGCCAAGAAAAAATGTCCATAGTCATATTTTATGTTCCTAAAGTAAGAGAATGATTTCAATCTGGAAAAGAAAAAAGAAGTGCTAATGTAGCATTTTTTTTCAACCCACCCAGTTTTTCCAAAAATTTCTGTTTCCCCCTGGAAAAAATCGGGTTTTTTTCCGAGCTTCAAAATTTCCAGAAATTTTACATCTCTAGGCACACAGCCCCACTTCTCCCCCAGAGCATTTAAAGGGACCTTTAAATGCTTGGGGAGAGAAGTGGGGGCTGCGTGTGAATTTCAGTGCCCTCCCCTTAAAGGCTCCCCAAATTAAACGATCCTGGCTACGGGCCTGCTTGTGACACCTGAAGACTAAACACATTTTTATTGTGGCAAAAGCTTTTTTGAATCGCAGTCCACTTGGGTTAGGGGGCGTGGTTATCCCCCAATGGTGCATCGTTATCCTCCTGTGTACCAATGGGTACAAACAGAAGGAAGGGTGGTAGGCAAGTCATTACAAAGTAGGGCCGATCGAGAGATTGATATATGATGTCACAATATCAAGCATATAGGCAACCAGGATCGTGTGAAAAAAGGATCCAGTCAAAAAGAGTACAGTCCCATCACTGGGATGGGACCACTCATTTCCCTCTCCCGGGCACTTTCTCACGTGCTAATAATGCACTTTCAACTGACTTTCAATGCACTCATGTGCAAGCGGATTTTCGCCATTTCACATAGTAAAGTCCAGTTGCTAAGTGGATTGAAAATGCATTATTCAGTGTGTGTGAAAGTATAGCTTCAGGACCAGCTGCATTCCATTGTCACGACAATCCTCTGTTTGTGATGGGCATGAGCATGGCTTGTTTGGTCTGCTTTCCTGTTCCCTTATCTCCTTCCCTTTCCTGTGCAGTATGATTGCAGTTGTCCAAGTTCAGGTACTCTCTTAGAGGATGGTTTCAGCTGCCCTGAAACTCCTGTCGATCTCTCTAAGGTGCTCCTGGACTTGAATCTTAAGTGTTCTCAACGGCTGTGTAGAAAACTCTGTTTTGTAGCTTTTGATGCAGTTACGGAATTGTAGGGAAGGGAGCAAATTAGATGGTTGCTTGGCAGGTTAAGGTGTTCTCTGCCAAGCAACGCAGCCTCAAATGAACTGTCAGGCTTTGTATATGAGACTGACAAGGCACAGGGTGTTGTGTGTGTGTGTGTAGACAGCGCACACAGAAAGACTTCAGCTGTGCCTCACAGGCGATCGCAAGCTAAGGCAGCTAAGGAACGCTGTCCCAACTCGCTTGTGTCCCCCCCCCCCGCTGTTTGCCAGTGCCGAGCTTTTCCCCGTGTACAGCCATCTTAACCTGCTGAAATAAAACATTGCTGTGCATAACCAAACCTTTTACGCTGTATTCTTATGCAGAGAGAACATGAAGCATGGTGACGGAGTGCGTCCTTCCTGAGCAGTGTTTCATCCAGTGCTTTTCAAAGGGTTGCTGGGGTATATTTGAACTCTGCCTGGACTTGTTTTTCTGCGTGAATTAGATGATACCAGAAGCCTCCTGCCACTGGTATTGTCTCTCCGTCATCAACCCCACCCCCCTTTCTGCAGGCCTCTGAAATGCCTCATTTGAGGCCCTTGTGAACCCTGACCTAAGTCTATTTGGCTTGGCTTTCTAGTCTCAGCTCTCATCTGGTTGGGCGTTGGTTTTGTCCTACCGGGGGAACTCCAAAAGCTTGTGTGTGTTTGTGTTATAGAGCTCAACAAAAGTAACACTGCTTGTATCTGGAGTTGTTATCTATAACCAAGCAAACTTTAAAAAGGCGTTTTCTTTAAGCACACACGATAGCTACTTAATACTGTTCGTTCTGCTCCACGTCAGGTTATTGCCAACAAAACCTGGGCCGAGCTGAATGAAAGAGCTATTTCTTAAAAAATAGGAATATACATACATACATACACACACACGCACACATAAAAAGAAAGAGCTATTTCTTTGCATGGTGTTGTGTGACCGGAGGCGGTGGCATCTCTGTTTCAGCAAATGTGGAGGGAGGACAGCCTGAATATAGTTGCAGTTACTGCAAATTAATATAGAGTAGTATAGAGTACATTGACACAGAGAGTCCTCCATCTTTCTGTGTTATACCTCTGAGGATGCCAGTCACAGCTGCTGGCGAAACGTCAGGGACTACAATGCAGAGACCATGGCCACACAGCCCGGAAAATCTACAACAACTAATAATGTAGAGTAGCGGACTACAAATCTAGCAAATTATTGTTTGCGGCTTAGTGTTCAGGTTAAAGATGGAACACAAACTGGAGGTCCACGAGGAATTGATGGGGAGGGGGATTTGGAAATCTTTTCTCAGCCCCCAAAATCATCCCCTTCAGGATTCTATAATTTATGCACTTACAGGATGACTTTCCTCCTAAAAGAGACCTCCAGCCAACTCACAACATTGATTTTAAAATATCCATGATTTTAAAACAGCGAAACCCAACCAATAAGGTAAGACCCATATCAAAAACATTAGCTAAATGCCTCCCTAAAAAGGCTCCTGTAGGTTCTCTTGAACAGGCTAATTCTCTTCTGCCCCCTTCATTACCTTCTCCAAAAGTTTCTTTACTTGGCATTCTGTGCGCCTGTTTAACAGAAAAGCTCATATTTTTCAAATTCTGCATTGCCTGTGGGTGGTCCCCTCGCACTTATGTCCAGATTGCCACTGAGCATGTGTGTTTTAAAAATCCATAATCTTAAAACAGCGAAACCCAACCGATAATAAGGTAAGACCCATATCAAAAACATTAGCTAAATGCCTCCCTAAAAAGGCTCCTGTAGGTTCTCTTGCACAGGCTAATTCTCTTCTGCCCCCTTCATTACCTTGTCCAAAATGTTCTTTATACTTGGCATTCTGTGCGCCTGTTTCTTTAACAGAAAAGCTCATATTTTTCCAATTCTGCATTGCCTGTGGGTGGTCCACTCACACTCATGTCCAGATTGCCACTGAGCATGTGTGTGGGAGTCACTTCAGTGTCCAATGCAGTGATGTGAGAACAGTTATCAGGTTTGCTACTTGCCTCTTGGCACGGTTTTCAGCTGTGCCCAAACCTGAGAATCCCTGGATTGACGGGGAGTGCGTGATAGAGAGGCGCGTGATGCGCGCACTGGGAAGATGCCCTTAGCTGTGACCTTCCCAGGGCGGTCTCCAGGCACATGAGGCAGCAACCCTGTTAAACTAAGTAGGTCTGATATGGTCGGTGCCCAAATGGAAACCTACCCAGGAATCTTATGCATGCCGTCGTGAGGTCAATGGAAAGAAAGTCAATATAAATAATAGAATCATAGAGTTGGAAGGGATCTCCGTGGTCATCTAGTCCAGCCCGTTGCCCAATGCAGGGAATTCACAAATACCCCCCCCCACACACACACACACAGTGACCCCTGCTCCATGCCCAGAAGATGGCAAAAAAACCTCCAGGATCCCTGGCCGAACTGGCCGGGGGGGAAATTGCTGCCTGACCCCAAAGTGGTGATCAGCATTTTCCCTGGGTGTGCAACTAGGAACCCTGTATTTCCCAAGTGAAATATTTGGGCTGCTTCAGGGACGCGCATTTTTACCTTCAAGAAAAGACCGCTGCATAATGTTAAAAAAGAAAACGTCGTGTGAGTTGAGAACATTGTTTGTAGGTTTTTATCTGGAGCGTTGCTAGCTCCTTGCGTAGGGCTGTCCCACACACTGAGCAGGTGGGATATGTCCCTCGAGAAAGACTCCCCCCTCCTTGATGAGGCCTCCATGGGAGTAAACGCATTTAAGGCAGATGACGTGCGTGTAAAATCCCGTCATGTTGCGGCCAACTTGTGGCGACCCTGTCGAGTTTTCAAAGCAAGTAAAATATTTGGGCTGCTTCAGGGACATGCATTTTTACCTTCAAGAAAAGACCACTGCATAATGTTAAAAAAGAAAATGTGTGAGTTGAGAACATTGTTTGTAGGTTTTTATCTGGAGCGTTGCTAGCTCCTTGCGTAGGGCTGCCCCACACACTGAGCAGGTGTGGGATATGTCCCTCAAGAAAGACTCCCCCTCCTAGATGAGGCCTCCATGGGAGCAAACGCATTTAAGGCAGATGACGTGCGTGTAAAATCCCGTCAAGTTGCGGCCAACTTGCGGCTACCTTGTCGAGTTTTCAAAGTAAGAGACTAACAGAGGTTAGACTTGCCTTCCTCTGCAGAGCAACCCCTGGACTTCCTTGACGGGCTCCCCTCCAAATACCAACCAATCCTACTTAGCTTCCAAGATCCAACAAGATCAAGTTAGCCTGGACCGTCCAGGTGAGGGGTGCGGATGAAAAATGTAACCTCGGACGATGAGAGGATCAGGCAGCAGATGCAGATTAATCAAATGGTACAAAAGCTTTAATGCCAGTAATAACGTATGTAAAAATTCGATCTTTAACAAACTTAATCTAATCCCTAGTATTCCTCAGGGAGCAGGAGCAGTGATCGTCCCATGATTCTGCATCCAGGTGAAATTTGTATGTAACCCTATTGGGTGAGCTGTTAAAAATGTTGACCGGTTCCCATAGAAACAGCCAAAGCAAGGAAGTAGAGGTGGCAGCGGAGAACTCCTTTGCACGGCTGCTTTGGAAGGAAGGCCCCACCCAATCTATGAAAGTGTGAAGGGAGGCTATAACAAGGTACGTTGTGTTTTAGGAGAGGGACGGTTTCGCAGGTGAAGACCGCCTCTCTTTTTAAAAAAGGAGATGGGACATCGTGCGATGGGAGAGAGACTAAGGTGAGGGGTGATGAGGAAGTAAGATTGCATATCAAAAACTCTGGGCTGCTAGGCCAAGTGCTGAAAGAAATGGCGTCTAGAAACTCAACATGTCGTCTGCTTAGCTGGGCTCCCGTCAGCCCCGGAAGATACTCTGTCTGACTTAAAACGGCATTTTTCTACGTGCTTTAATATAATGCTCTCCAGAGATTGTTCGGACAGGTCCTTCTAGGCTCCTGCCAAATAATTTGCAGGAAGAAAGGCAGAGTAACATTTTTCCCCCGTGCTTCAAGAACTGGCAAACTGCAGAGCCCGTGGAATGACGAACGCCTTTTGGCTACAGAAGATCCCGCAGACTCGCCGAATGACACTTTGGATTTAAGGGCTGTCCTGACATGCTCCGTTGTTAGCTTATAAAGGCGCAGCGTCTAAGTACAGAAAGCCACCCAGACTCTCCTTGGAACGAGTCTCTGCTTCCTCGCTGCTTCACGTCTCAGCTGCCAGGGCCTCCTACTTCTTGCGCTTGGAGCTCAGCCACTCCCCCCACGGCAACTTCTGTTTGCCCTTTGATACGCTTCTCAAGGCGTGCAGAGCCTGCACCTGTTCCAGACGCCGGGAGAGCTCTCCTTGGCAAGCCTGCTGCAAGGCCTCCGTCTTCGGCTGGTCCCAGTTCAGGGCCAGAGCAAGGGATTCTGGGTCATTTTTGAAAACCAGCTGCAATGGGAAACAGACAAAAAACCAGCCCCGTCAGTCGCGTCAGTGCCTGCGCCTCTCCCTCGCTGTGTCCACGCCCTTTTTGCCAGAGCCAGAAGTGGCTCAGTGGTCAAGCATGCGGTCAGCAGGCAGAAGTCCTCCTCAGGTTCAATCCCCAGTATGTCCAGGTAAAAAGCATCTTGGGTATCGGGTGTTGGGGAAGACCTGAGACCTAGGACAGCCACGACCAGTCACAGTAGAGATAGTACACAGCCAGATGGACCAAGGATCTGACTCACTAGAAGAGAGAAGAGATTGCATTTATACCCCGCCCTTCACTACCCGAAGGAATCTCAGAGTGGCTGACAATCCCCTTCCCCTTCCCCTACCCACAACAGACACCCTGTGAGGTCGGTGGGGCTGAGAGGTCTCTCTTGAGAACTGCCCTTGGGAGAACAGCGCTGAGAACTTGTGACTGACCCAAGGTCACACCAGCAGCTGCACGTGGGGGAGTGGGGAATCGAACCTGGTTCTCCCAGATTAGAGTCCGCGCTCCTAACCACTGCGCCAAACCGGCACCAAAAGTAGCTTCACCTGTTCAACAAGGCCTTTTTTAAAAAAAAAGCTGGTGTAACCTAGTGCCAGGGACTTCACAGGCCTTAGACAAGGCATGCTGTGTTGGCTTCAGCCTCTAGGAGAGTCACTTAATGGGGGAGCACTTTGTCTGCCTGACGAAAGCCCCAGGTTCAGTCCCGTTACAGGATTTGTGGGAGAAGGTGCTAAAAGAGACCTTTCCCTCCCAGAGACTCGGAGAGCCACTGCTGCTCAGAGCAGAGACACATTCTAAAGCGGTTTTCTATTTTAAAAAATTGACTTTTTGGAATGGATTCTCTCCATGCCATTTGTAAATATATCATCCTCTTATTGCATCCCTGCCTTTAGTCATCTTTTTATTTTTCTGTGTCTAAACTGAAGAGCTCCAAAACACAACCCTTCAGGGCAGGCTGATGCCTTTACATTTACTCACCTCCAAGTCTTGACTGGCCAGACTCAGTTCTGGAGCCGGCTTTTCCCTGAGTTGCGTCAAAAGGTGGCTACTGAGTGGGGTTGCGAGAGCAGATCCTCCGCTGCTGCTCCCATGATCGACGGTATCCTTTCCATCCGCGGCAGTTTCCTCCGCTTCCGGATCTAGAAGGGAACCGGAAGCGCATTACCAGAAAAGGGGTATACAAACCCCTATCCCTGAAAACGTGTCGGCCCTACTGAAACTTTCAGTTCCTCTTAGAAATTCCTCAGACAGATTGCCTGGGGAGGAACCATCCAACTGAAAACTGAATTTCATGTTTAGGTGCGATTCTGGCAACTCCAGCATTATCAGTCGGGGCACAAAACAGCTCATGTTCTGTCTGTTTCGGCAGCTTTCCCCCCTCTGGTTTTTCTCAATGACGCCACTTCCTTTTTTCGTGGCTACAGAAGGTGCCTGCTAAAACAAGTTTCCCTCTCTCTTAGCCACAATGAGGTCCCCCTTCCTTTGCTCCCTGTCTTTGCCCAGCAGTAGTTCTGGGTCATCAAAGGACCCTTTTTGGCAGTTTTGCAAGGGGCTTGAAAGCAATAAAATGTATGAAATCCGGGGCAAATCCTTGTTTCTCCTGAATACCTCTTGGTTCAGGTATTACGTACCTAAGAGAGATGCTACATTTGAGGGGCAGAACGATTGTGGCTTTTGAGAGCAATTCTGTTTTCCCCCCCTTTGAGTTAAAACTCTGGGCAGAATTTTTCACCACACCTTGACTAAAGACCTTCACTCTTTAGTTTAGCCTGCACAGTTCCTTAGTACTGTGCCATCTGCAATGCAACATACACTACCTGGCGTCTTCCTGGTGCTAAACAAATGATGAACAGTGACAACCGTGTGACTACAGCACAGAAGGCGAAGAGGAGATTGGATTTATGCCCCGCCCTTCACTACCCGAAGGAGTCTCAGAGTGGCTTACAAACTCCTTTCCCTTCCCCTCCCCACAACAGACACCCTGTGAGGTAGGTGGAGCTGAGAGAGCTCTTTCAAGAACTGCCCTTGAGAGAACAGCTCTAAAAGAACTTATGACTGACCCAAGGTCACACCAGCAGCTGCATGTGGAGGAGTGGGGAATCAAACCCGGTTCTCCCAGATTCGAGTCGGCGCTCTTAACCACGACACCAAAAGGGAGATAGTTGTTCTGATGCAAGCGAAGAAAAACCGGGAACACAGCTAAATCACTAGAAGGGAGTATAAACGCTATGTAGCCCTAAACTGCTCTAAAAAAAGAAACTTTATTAACAATATCTAAAAGACCAAGCAAGAATGATAACAATAAATTTTACAATCAACATTCCAACATAAACAACAACAAAGAGTCGTGGATGAAACTCGGCTCATCACGCTGAACTGCGCGCAAACACTATATGGCTCTTTATTTGCCATGTTTGGTGTCATGGTTAAATGTGGGGTCTCTAATCTGGGAGAACCGGGTTTGATTCCCCACTCCTCCACTTGCACCTGGCTGGCTGACCTTGGGCAACCCACAGTTCTGGCACAGATGTTCTTGAAAAAGAGCAGTTTCTGTCAGAGCTCTCTCAGCCCCACCTACCTCACAAGGGTGTCTGTTGTGGGGAGGGGAAGGGAAAGGAGTTTGCAAGCTGCTCTGAGACCCCTTTGGGTAGTGAAGGGCGGGGTATAAATCCAATCTCCTCCTCTTCTTCTTCTACTTTTCTGATGCAAGCTGTATGCTACTCTAAGAATCATCCCTTTTCCCCCCTTTGGCACAGCAGTACTTCCTAGGAAGACTCCTGTCAACCACACACCTGCCGCCCTTGGTACCACGTGGTCCTCCTTTTTCAGCGCCTGCAGGTAGAGTTCCAGAAGCTGCCGAGACTGGCGTTCCTCCTCCCGCCTGTCCAGCACCTGCTGAAGGGTGTCCTGCAGAGTTTGGATTTTAGGCTGGTTCTCGGCTAGTTCCTGAGCCAGTTTGGAGCACGGCACATCAATCAGCACCTGGGATAAAACGGCGAAGATGAAGTAAGAACAGAAGATTCTTATGCTCCTGAATCTGTCTCAGTGAGACAGAGTGATGCTATTTGTTTCCTCGCTTAATTCCCCCTTATTGTTCCAACCATAACGATTTCAGAGCCGGCACGAGAACATCTGCGTAAGGCTGTTAGATATCAGACAGCCTTCACTTTCCGGCTGCTTTATCACTCTCTGGAGAGAGATAACGCGGGATGGATCATCAACTTCCAAGGCTGGCCCTTACTGGAAACAGAACGCTAGACTAGATGGATTTATTTTCTAGATACGAGAAGATAATTGTCATGTTCAGTACCCATCGTCTATGGATAGGTGCTGTGAGTCAACAGAAGAGCGCGTGCTCTGAACACAGAAAGCCCCAGATTCAATTCCCTGCATCTCCATCTACAGGAATTTACGGAGCAGTGACTGAGAATAACCTTTCTGGACTGGGTCGCTGCAGAGCCGCTGGCCAAGCAGGCCAGGGGTCCCCAACCTTAAGAACGTAAGAACATAAGAGAAGCCAATGTTGGATCAGGCCAATGGTCCATCTAGTCCAACACTCTGTCACACAGTGGCCAAAAATACCAGGTGCCATCAGGAGGTCCAGCAGTGGGGCCAGGACACTAGAAGCCCTCCCACTTTTGCCCCCCCAAGCACCAAGAAGACAGAGCATCCGTTGCCCCAGACCGAGAGTTCCTATCTATACCTTGTGGCTCACAGCCACTGATGGACCTCTGCTCCATATGTTTATCCAATTCCCCTGAAGCTGTCCATGCTTGTAGCTGCCACCACCTCCTGTGGCAGTGAATTCCATGTGTTAATCGCTCTTTGGGTGAAGAAGGACTTTCTTTGATCTGTTCCAACCCGACTGCTCAGCAATTTCATGGAGTGCCCACCAGTCCTTGTATTATTCAGCCCGTGGGCACATTTGGAATTCTGAGACAGTGCGTTGGGCGCAGCACAAAATGCCTGCTGCAAAACGGTTGTTGGAGTGCACTTTTCGGCCGCACGGTGAAGAACGTGCTGTGGGGGCCGCCGCCGCCAAAGCAACATCTTAAAAAACAGACACAGCCAATCAAATCACCAGTGGCCAATCAGAAGCCTTGCTGGGCAAAAGCCCCATTGGCCCCACCCACTTCCAAAGGACACTTGGCGAGTGCCAGCAAAGGCGTCAGTGGGCACTGTTGGGCCCGTGGGCATCACGTCGGGGACCCCTGGAGTAGGAAATACTGAGCTAGATGGACCAGAGACCTGACATAAGGTAGCTTCATAAGTTCATAGCTCCTTCTGTCTAGGCCGATAGCCAACTTGGGATTGGTGCAGATGTAAAACAGCCTCCGTCTTCCGCTCTAAGGTCATGCATTGTGATCTAATAACAACCATCTAACAGACGTGGGGATACGATCATATTTTATTCTGTGCCTCTTCCCAGGATTAACAGGTGGGTGTCAGGAAATGTAATCTGAGCATTCCCGGTGCTGCCTTTTTGTAATACCTGGAGGTCTGCCTCTGACATCAAGATAATGGTGGAAAGGTCAGCCTTCAGTTGTCTGGCCAGGTGCCTCCATCGCTCTCCCTCGCTGTCCACGCCGTCGATCTCGCTGGTCTCTCTCTCGAGCCAGGCTGTGCCCCCATCTAAAAGAGGCACAGTTGTCAGCAGAAAACAGCAAGGAGCTGTGGCATCCTTTGCGCCACAATTAATCCCAAGATTCTTTGGTCTTTTTGCTGCAACAACCTAACCTCCTTTCTGGTAGCGATGCACATGAACACGGCAAGAATCTTCACACTATCTGTTCAAAAATTGTATAAGTCTCCTCCAATGCTCCCTCTAAGCTGTGGAGTCTTGTGAGCAAAAATTCTACTTTGTGAGCCACTGGCATTCAAGTCGTGAGTGAGCGATTTGGCTAGCGCATAAATCAGTTTGCTCTGGAGCCCTCCTTCCTGAGCGGAGACAAAAATGTGTGAGCCGGAGGCTTAAAAACTGTGAGCTAGCTCACCCTAACTTAGCTTAGAGGGAACACTGGTCTCCTCTCGCCCTGATGTGGATGACTCAGGCTAGACTGATCCTGGAAGCTAAGCAAGGTTGTTCCCTGGTTAGTATTTGGATGGGAGACCACCGAGGAATGCCAGGGTTGCTGTGCAGAGGCGGGCAATGGCAAACTACCTCTGAAGGTTTCTTGCCTTGAAAACCCTTTGGGGCACCATAAGTCAGCTGCAACTTGATGGCACATTACACACACATGCGCGCACACACACAAGCCTCCTCTCAAACCTGCCCAAGCCATCTCACAAAAATAAAAACAATTCAACCAATAAAACTTGAACAACAACAACAATAAAAACCATCAATACTAAAGTTAGCAATGAATCCACTAGGGGCATACAAAGAAACAGCTGTTATAAAAGCATGAAGTTTAAAAGCACAGAGGGAGGGATCGTGGTCCACGGAGGAAACACAGAAGGCAGCATGTTAGCGGAAGGAAAGAAAGTGGGGCTGGGAGCAGCAGCTATGAGATGTCTTTGGGTTGCTTCTGCACGGATGAATGAAGAGAGATCTGTGAAAAGCTCAGGCCTGGAATCTTCAGACACTGAAGTCTCAGAACTCAAAGGTTTCCACAGGTCAGAGTTTAAGGGCCATGTAGAGTCCATCGCTCCCTTCCTTTAGACTTGGAGCACAGCTGTCACTGCTATTTGAACACAGTCAAATAACTCCTAAAGCCAAGAATGTAGATGGAAGCCTACCTTTTTCATTCCATTGTCGTGTGCTCGCCACCCTGTCCCGCCCGTACTTCCAAACAGGAATACGAGAAGTCCACTCATGTACATACATTAAATTTTATTACATTTCTTGAAACTGATTGCCTTGTTCCATGGTAGCATTTATCTTCATAATTAGCATAAGAATCAAGCGTTAAAATCATTAAAGTCTCTTTTTTGGTGGTGTTCTAATGAAGGCAAAGCACTGGAAATACTGGACCATTATTTCAAAGCATTTCACTGCTCACCTGGCCCAATCTTTTTAAAAGAGTCGAATGCCCAACTGTGTACAATTAGCAAAAACAGTATAAATTTTGCAACATAGCCATCTGTGTTTAATTTGTGAGAGCTACACCCATTGCTGTTTCTCTTGGCAAATAATCTGAATTAGCTGGAGGAGATTTTTGGGTGGCTCAGCGTATCCATTGTCCTTTCTTTGGTGTTACAGTTCCAACAAACAATGGCCTACCTATACTGCTGCTGGCCCACTTCTCATCCTTTGCCAACACCACAAACTTGGTGTTGGGTGGCAGACACAAGAAATAGTCCTCGTCGTCCACGATGGTGCCGTCCTCAGCCAGCACCAAGGTAATGGGATCTAAGCCCTTGTCAATCGCCAGGAGGTCACAAGCTGTGGAGAAAGCAAAAGTTGTGATGACAACGTAGAAAATCTTCCCCCAGTCTTCTAGTGAAGGTTTCCTTGTCCGCCATTTTGCCTACTGTTTCCAGCTTCTCCAACGGGCTTAACAAATCATGTTGTGAAGACGTTCAGGGAGGCACGACTTTCCAAGTTGGAACAGATCAGAAGCCATGTGTCTAATTGGTTTCCTGTTCATAAATCCCCGGGCACCCAATGAAACGGACTGGCAGTACATTTTTATTACCTTTTAGTGATTAGTTTAAAAATTACTGGCAGTAAAGACTGAAAAAAATCATTTATGGAATTTGCTGCCTTGTGATGTGGTAATGATCACTGGCTGCCTTGAATAGATGTCCGTACCTCCCTGTTTCCATCTTTTTATTACTAGCTTTCCTCAACTTGTGCTATGAGAAGTGGTTAGATCAGGAATGCACGGTCTCAATGGAATGTGCAGAAACCTATCTGTACAGAGAAGGGAAAAACTGAGTGTCAAAAACAGGTTTGCAATTGGCTCTTCACTTCGCTCTGGCAAGCAAAGACGGCCCTCGGCTGTGGCTTACTGAAGCCTGCGCAAACTAGAAGACAGTTGATTGTTGCTTTCCTTCTTTCTTTAAAGGGATGTGCCACAAATGACTAAGAAAGGTAGCATGCACATTTGGGTGGGGTCTAGTAACTTCTGCAGAATTCCTTGCTCAGAGCCAGAGTTGTCACCCCTGAGTAATTTGTGCTCCCTGTAGGTGATGAGAGACGGGAAGGAGAGAAGCAGCCCCAAAGCTGCTAGAAATAGAACTGCTCCAGGCCGTGAGTCGTGGGCATAAGGCTATCTCCAACGAGCAAGCACCCAGAATTGGGATCTCTTCTGCAAGTCATACAGGTTTAGTTGACGCTTCTACTCCCATCCCTCACAGAGCTTAAAACTCTTTTCGTGCCGTTCAACAAGAGTGTTGTCAATACCTCTTCAATCACAAGAAACCTAACTCGCCCAGCTTTCTCCCTTGGAACGCCTGAAGCTGCTTTTGAGTCAAACCTTGGGTCCATTTAGCTCAAGACGACTGTTAGCCCTCCAGGGTTCCTGACAGAGAAAGGTCTTTCTCCACACCTGCAGCCTGAGATCCTTTAGCTAAAGAGGCCCAGAACTGAACCAGGGATCTTCTGCATGTAAAGCAAGCACTGCCCAAGCCGTTGCTTATGGAGTCAGGCCATATGTCTCCCTAGTTCAGGACTGTTTCCTGCAACTGGCTATGGCCTTCCTCGACTCTTCTGGCCCACTTTATCTGGAAAAGCCAGCAACTGATGTCTCTAATGAATTTCCTCCTGCAACGTGTGGCTGCCACAATGCCAAAGGGACGTAGTTTCCGAGAATCCACTGCGGCACACCAGAGAGCACTAGCAGATGATCAGGGGGGCTCCACGCCAGATGGTTCGACGGGGTTCTCTGACGGAGGGAAGTTTAGAAAACCACTGTCATAATCCAGTCCTGGATGACGCAACTGTCAAAACTGGGGCTGTGTTCTGGATTAGGATGACATTGAGTCTGCATTCACAGAAGCTGATCTGCAACTGAGCCTCAGACCATTTCCACAGCAGTGAAATCCCCCGCATTGACATTTTAAAAACTGTGCATTATGTGAAATTTTCTGCAGTAGATTTTTCCTCACCAGGCCCAAATCCGAAGTTTTCTCCTTCTTACCTTGTGTTTTTCAGAACGCACTAAAACTGGGGATTCTGAAAACACAGGAAGGAGAAAACATCGGGGTTGCGTCTGGTGAGGAAAAATCGACTGCCGAAAATTTCACATAACATGCAGTCTTAAAAATGACAATGTGGGGAATTTCACTACTGCGGAAATGGTCTCAGCCTCTCCCCTTTATAGCCCTGGCATGCTTTCCCCCCCCACAGACCAAATTTCCTTTACCCCATAAGCAATGCTCCTTCTAAGCTGTGAGCAAAAATTCTACTTTGTGGGCTACTGGCATTAAAGTTGTGAGCGATTTGGCTACTGCATAAGTTAGTTTGCTCTGGAGCCATCCTTCCTGAGCTAAGACAAAAACGTGTGAGCTGGAGGCTAAAAAACTGTGAGCTAGCTCACACTAACTCAGCTTAGAGGGAACACTGCCCATAAAATATTTTGCCACACGACCCAAAAACAACACCCAAGAATCCTTTGCAGTGTGGCAGAAGATGCTGGGGTGAGGTCCAATGCCCCGATTCTTTACAGAGTTAGTGTAACTAGTGTAACTGGATTTCATAGTTTTAAGAATACCTAATTATGATTGTACTTTGTTTTTAACTGTGAATTTAATATATGAATGCTCTTTATCATTGTACACCGACCTGATCCGTTTAACAGGGGAGGGCGGTCTAGAAATCTACTTTAATTAATACATAAAAATACCTAACCTTGTAAAAGGTCTGGACTGCAACAGTGACATTCTTTTCTGTGCCATTGCAAAGGATCCTATCAAATAACCTGCTACTGCTGTGACACATTCCCAGCAACTATTGGAGTTTGGGTGGCCTTACTTTTGATTGGCTGCCTCTTCAGGTAACCAGAGGACTCTCTCTGCGGCATATCGGACAGACTGTGGGACAAGCATCTGGGAGGCTCAAGTTCGAATCCCCACTCTGACATGGAAGCTTGCTGGGTGACCTTGGGCCAGTCACACAGCCTCACCTATCTCACAGAGTGGTTGCAAGGATAAAATGGAGGAAAGGCAACGTAAGCTGCTTTGGGTACTCATTGGATAGAAAGGTGAGGTATAATGAAGTGAATAATAAACTGGCCTTCCAATCAGTGTTCCCTCTAAGCTGAGTTAGTGTGAGCTAGCTCACAGTTTTTTTAGCCTCCGGCTCACACATTTTGGTCTTAGCTCAGGAAGGAGGGCTCCAGTAGCCAAATCGCTCGCTCACAGCTTTAATGCCAGCAGCTCACAGAGTAGAATTTTTGCTCACAAGGCTGCACAGCTTGGAGGGAGCATTGCTTGCAATAACTCTCCACTTTTTTTCTAGTCTTGGGTAAACCCTTCCAGATCAGCATCTCTCTGCCTTTCTTCTGCCCCGACTTGGATGGCCCAGGCTTGCCCAGTCTCCTTAGATCAGCCCCGTTAGCATTTGTATTGGGAGATCCCCCAGGAAGCCCAGGGTTGCTAGGCAGAGGCAGGCAGTGGCAAACCACCTCTGAATGTCTCTTGTCTTGAAAATTCCACTTAAGTCGGCTGCAACTTGAGGGCACCCTCCTTCTCCTCCACGGTCTTCCCTTTCCTTTGCATAATGTAATGGTTTCAAGGATTTCCTCTGGCTCCCCCCACCCCTTCAATGACTCAAAGCAAATCAAATGGCAAAGCAGTTCCTCATTCCTTAGACTCTCCACCCTGTCCTACTTGATCTCTTGCTCTTTCTGGCGAAGTCTTCATTCCTCCCCAATACCATTCAGTCTCTCTCGTTTTTCTTTTGCAGCTAAATGCAGCAAAATGTACATGTTTGTGATCTGCACACAAGAGATTGCACGGAAAGCACCTTCCACAAAGGGCTTCCGTCCCTCCCTCACAAGCTGTCCAAACACAGCTGCTCTGGACAGGTAGACTACAGCATCACCCTGTGTAGCTTCTTTTCCATTTCAGTCCCGCCCTTCTGCAAACTTGCACGGATGTATTTACTTAAATTAATATCTATATCTAAGTTATTATTATTTCAATATCTATTTAAATACATTCTGATCCCGCTATTTGTCCTCAGTGTAGGGGAAAGGAAATAACCCAGGATTTCCGAGCCAGAAAGAAATATTCTCGCATTTAAACACACATACACACACAGAGATAATAGGGTTTAAAATAAATAAATAACTGAAGAAAGATCGCATCGTGCCTGCTTAAAACCGACTATTTAAAAAGTAGCCACGCCAAATTACCCCTAACACCGTATCTATCGCTGATTCCCTAGGGCTCCTCGGCCTTTAATAGCTGCCTGACAGGCTGGAATTCAACCGGTGCTATCCCCCCCTCCCCGGTGAAGGAGAAACTCCACCGGTGGGTTTTCCACCTGCAGCGCAGAATCTGCAAGGCGCGTCGGTTGCTCCTGCCGCCCCCCTCCCAGAGCTCCGCCTCACCCTTGCCCCGCAGCTCCCGCAGGCCGGAGGCAGCCACGCCGTACTGCGCCTCTTGACCATTCCGCCTGATCAGGCATTGCTTCAACAGGGGCAGCGCGGACGCCGCCGCCGTCATCGCTTTCCTTTCGCTCCTGCTCTGGAGGTGGCAAACAGGAATGTCACCCAACCACTCTCAGCAGATAACCAATCGGCGCAGAGCTGGCCATGTGGTCCCTTCCCAGCGCTCCTTCCGCGTTCCCCTTTCCCCAGTGCACTCTGGGAAATGTAGTTCTTGCGCTCCCCTGTACGACTGCTGGCTTCAAGCCTGCTAAAGAAGTTAAGCTGCAGCTCACAGGAGAGGCTCCTTAAAAAGTTATGGCCGCCACTATTCTAGGTGGCAGCTGCGACACCCCTGCGGGGATGGGCGGGGTGAAACGGTCCCTTGCCTCCCTGAGCCCCGGGGTGGTGGCCTTAGACTCTAGGGGCAAATTCCACCTCTTGCGTGTGATGTCCGAGCCCTCCAGCCCCCAGAATATACCCTATGTTTTCGCCATTGACTTTAATGGCCCATAGGATATAATGGGGCCGAACGGCGTAAAGTCGATTCAGATCAGAAAATCTTCCTTCCACTGAATCAGACCACCCACCCATCAAAGCTAGTACTGTCTATTCTGACTGGCAGCGGCTCTCCGGGGTCTCAGGCTAAGGTCTTTCACATCACCTACTACCAGATCCTTTAACTGGAGATGCTGGGGATTGAACCAGGTGTGTTCTGCATGCCAAGCCGAAGCTCTACCTCCGAGCAGTGGTCCCTCTAAGCTGAGTTAGTGTGAGTTAGCTCACAGTTTTTTAGCCTCCAGCTCACAGATCTTTGTCTTAGCTCAGGGAGGAGGGCTCCAGAGCCAACTAATTGATGCAGGAGCCAAATCACTCGCTCACATCTCTCATGCCAGTAGCTCACAAAGTAGAATTTTTGCTCACGAGACTCTACAGCTTAGAGGGAACATTGCCTCCGAGCCACGCCCCTCCCTGAAAACATACATAGGAAGCTGCTTTATACTGAATCAGACCCCTGGTCCACCAAGGTCAGTGTTGTCTACTCAGACTGGAAGCCGCTCTCCAGGGTCCCAGGCAAAGGGCCGTCACATCACCTACTGTCTCCTACTTCAACTGGAGATGCCAGAGGTTGAACCTGGGGCCTTCTGCATGCCAAGCAGAGGCTCTTCCGCTGAGAGCCATGCAACTAAGTTATAATTAACAGTACATGTTTACTGTTAAAGAGGTACAAATTTGAATATCAGATGTCTCCACCATTTTTCTACTTTCCCCAGGCTCTGCCCCCAAATCTCCAAGAATCCCCCAACCCAGAGCTGGCAACCCTAACCCCCCCCCCCCATTAGGGTTGCCAGGTCTGGGTTGGAAAATACCTGGGGACATTGGGGGTGGATCCAGGAGAGGGTGAGGTTCGGGGAGGGGAGGGGGCCTCAGCATGCCACAATGCCCTAGAGTCTGCCTTTCAAAGCAGCCATTTTCTCTAGGGGAGCTGATCTCTGTCATCTGGAGATCAGTTGTAAAAGCGGGGGATCGCCAGGCCCCACCTGGAGGCTGGCAACCCTACCACCATGCTCCCTCTAAGCTGCGGAGTCTGTGAGCAAGAATTCTACTTTGTGAGCGAGCTATTTGGCTGCTGCATAAATTAGTTTGCTCTGGAGCCCTCCTTCCTGCGTGGAGACAGAAATGTGTGAGCCGCAGGCTAAAAAACTGTGAGCTAGCTCACACTCACTCAGCTTAGAGGGAACACTGGTCCCGCCCGCTGCAGAGGCACAGAGAAGTCGCCACCCAGGCACCAATCGGTTATTCGGAGATCGCCTGCTTCTGCCTGACCAGGCGCCCCTCCCTCCTCTCCTTCCGCCGGAGGAAGTCCTGGCGGATCCGTGGGCTCCGCGGATGGATTAGCCGGGTCTGGAAACATGGCCTCCTCAGAGCGACTTTCCAATTTCCGGGGGGGGGGGGGGGGGGGGCGGGGCGCGGGGGGGGGGGGGCGCAGCCTGAGCCTCTCTCCCCCCATCTCCATTGCCAAGGGTGGGGAACGCCCAGTGGGCTCTTGGGTCCTCCTCAGTGGGGGGGAGGTGGAGGGGTGCCCTTGCGGGGGGGGGGCAGGCCTAGCGCCCCCCTCCTTTTCTCCGACCCCCTCCCCATTTCACAAGTGGAGAGCCTGGTGGGATATTGGGGGGAGGAGGAGGAGGTCTCTAATGGGGGGGGCAGGGAAGGGAGGTGGGAGGCCTGGAGGGCTCTCTCTCTCTCTCTGCCCCCCCCCCTTCAGAAGAAATGGGGAAGGAATGCCTCGTGGGTTTTATCACCTGGGGAGGAAGGGGGAAGAGGCGAGGGTCCTTTGACGGGAGAGGGCAGGCGGCGCTCCCGTCCTGCTTGTTCTCATATGCGCCCCCCCCCCCCTTTCAAAAGGAACAGGGGTCACTGGCAGTGTTCCCTCTAAGCTGAGTTAGTGTGAGCTAGCTCACAGTTTTTTAGCCTCCAGCTCACACATTTTTGCCTTCGTTCAGGAAGGACGGGGCTCCAGAGCAAATTAATTTATGCAGTAGCCAAATCGCTCGCTCACAACTTTAATGCCAGGAGCTCACAAAGTGGAATTTTTGCTCACGAGACTCCACAGCTTAGAGGGAACATTGGTGGTGTGTGTGTGGGGGGGAAGGTATTTGTGTATTTCCTGCATCGTGGGGGGTTGGACTAGATGACCCTGGAGGTCCCTTCCAACTCTGTGGTTCTAAAAGGTATGAGGGTGTCCTGCTGGCCCTCTCTTTCTGCTTGAGCTCCCAGTTTTACATGAATATGGGGAGAAATCCTGGATAGGGCTTGTGTGATCTGGGGAGAGCGACCTATTTGGGGGGGGTTTTGAGGCCTGCCCCATCCCTTGAGCTTGTTCCATTTCAAAAAGGGTGTTTTTTTTGGGGGGGGGGTTATGAGTGGGATTTGAGCTTGTGGTCTGCAGAGAAGAAGATTGGACCTTCGCCCTCCAGTGTGGGGAATGGAAGAAAAAGGGTGGTTACTCACTCCTACTTCACTTTCTTGTACACACATTCGAATCCAAAAGGAGTGTGTGTGTGTGAGGGGGGGGATCTCTACTGCCTCATTTTATCAATGGTAGTTAGGTGAAGTTTCCTCCAAAGGCTCTAGTTCCCCCCAGGGGACAGGAGGTAGCTGCCCTATGTGCAATAACAGGGAGGCTGTGTTTATACTGGCTACCAGTGTTTCCTCTAAGCTGAGTTAGTGTGAGCTAGCTCACAGTTTTCGAGCCTCCCGCTCACACATTTTTGTCTTAACTCAGGAAGGAGGGCTCCAGGGCAAACTCATTTATGCCATAGCCAAATCGCTCACTCACAACTTTAATGATAGTAGCTCACAAAGTAGAATTTTTGCTCACAAGACTCCACAGCTTAGAGGGAGCATTACTGGCTACCTGTCACCTTCTCCCATGATGGGGAGGAGGGTAGCTTGTGGGGTGCTGTTCCCTCCCGTCATATGTCAGGGTGTGTGTGAGTGTTTATTTATTTACACTGTTCATAGTCCTCCTTTCTCACGGCCACTCAAGGCAGATTGCACATAGTGAATCCAGTACTGTGGAACACAGTGGGACTTTCAGTAGCCAATGCATTAGGATCTGAGAAGTCTGGAACCACACGAAAGAACTGAAATAAAGCATATAAGTGTTAACATGGCACACGAAGCAGCACAAAAATCACATAATAGGATCCCACTTACAATAGGTGATAAGCAGCAGTATAGACCACTGTCCCTATTCATTTAACCAAGTAAGTTTGGGAACCATTTTGTACAGTACAAACATGTTACCTGTGCAGGAAATCCATCCTGAATAATTCAGTTTTGCGTACTTTGTGGAAGGCCAGGAGGCTTGTGCCCAGTGTTCCCTCTAAGCTGAGTTAGTGTGAGCTAGCTCACAGATTTTTAGCCTCCAGCTCACACATTTTTGTCTTAGCTCAGGAAGCCGGTTTGGTGTAGCGGTTAAGTGCATGGAGTCTAATCTGGGAGAACCGGGTTTGATTCCCCACTCCTCCACTTGCACCTGCTGGATGACCTTGGGCAAGCTGTAGTTCTGATAAGAGCTGTTCTTGAAAAAGAGCCGTTTCTGTCAGAGCTCTCTCAGCCCCGCCTGCCTCACAGGGTGTCTGTTGTGGGGAGGGGAAGGGAAAGGAATTTGTAAGCCGCTCTGAGACTCCTTTGGGTAGTGAAGGGCGGGGTATAAATCCAATCTCTTCTCTCTTCTTCCAGAGCAAACTAGTTTATGCAGCAGCCAAATTGCTTGCTCACAGCTTTAATGCCAGTAGCCTGCAAAGTAGAATTTTTGTTCACAGAACTCCACATCTTACAGGGAACATTGCGTTGTGCCCTGTGCAAGGAGGAGATGCAGGCCAATTGCATCGTAATAGGTGGAGGAGGGAGGTTATCTGGGTCAGCTGCCCTCATTTCCCATCAACTGGGGCTTTGTTACACAGAAAAAAAGAGCTAGAAGTCCGGCTGGACCCCTTCCATCTTGGGAAGGGGCTATATCCAGTTCTCTCAGTAATTCCGTTGTCATCTTGGGGAATGGGGTTCAGGTGGGATTCATAACCTTCCTGGGGGAGGGGACTCTTGAGAAGGGGTCCTTTCGGAGGAGGGGTCTGCCTCTCTAGTCTGTAGGAGAGAGTTTTTAGGTCTTAGTCATTTATTCTGGTCCAGGTGCGAGACACTCCACATCCTCCAGCCCCTCTTCAGAGAGAGGCTTGCAGCTCACTGGCTGAGCATGAGCTTCGTGTGCAAAAGGGCCAGATTTGATTCATATTTTAATGTCAAGTAGCAGATCCTGGGAGAAGACCTTTGCCTGATTGTTTCAGGTGGGTAGGCGTGTTTTGAGTAGAAGAGCTAGTTTTGAGTCCAGTATTACTTTCATAGAATCACAGAATCATACAGAGTTGGAAGAGGCCATATAGGCCATGTAGTCTAAACCCTTGCTCAATGCAAGATCAGCGTAGAGCATCCCTGAGAAGTGTTGGTCCAGCCACTGCTTAAAGACTGCCAGGGAGGGGGAGCTCACCACCTCCCTAGGCAGCTCCCTGCCGTCCTGTATGTGACAGCTCTTCA